GCTGACAGTAGGCATGTTTTACGATAGACGTGATCCATGTAGCAAAGACTTGACTATTAGAGATGGGTGAGAAAGTCAGCATGGAGTGTGGAGATTGTTTTGCAGACAATTGGTCAAAGGATGGGCTCCACTTGTTTCTTTGACGAGTTGTATTGTAGTGCTATTATCAGCCACAAAAAGCCTAAAACTGACATAAAAATGTCCTTAGGTAGTCGTGAGACAAAATGTGCCTAAATCCATTTAGCCAAAAGCATATGCATGCAACCATAGTATGATTTATAGTTAACATCATTACATCATCCTATGTGGACCCAATTAATTCGTATTAATTTCTTTTAAAAGTACAATGCACAAATAACACTGATGATAAGCTGCAACTACGAGCATTTTGTAAGCTGCCTAAGAGCGAAACAACACAAGCTCTATTTGACAGACTCATACCTAGTGTACTAGGAGCAACAGACTCAGTAGAAAGAGATGATGCATCATCGCCAGCAGGCGTGGCTCTTAAGACGATAGGCTCTTCTTCGTCCAGATCGGGAAGGAGAATCCAACGCGATGTGGAACCTAAAACAACAACTCCCGAGTGTTCGGCCCGCTTTACACGTTGCGCATTGCGCAGCAAATTTGACGAATTAAGAGTATTGGTGCTCAAAGCAGGGGATTTCGCCTTTGAACATCTAACGGGTGACGAAAGCCGCAAAGGCCGAATCCATGGGTCCAGATGGCCAGTGGATGCCCCAAGGCTATGTGAGATTCCTCTACTTTCAAGGCAGGAGTTCAAAGGAAGGAGTCGAAAGTTACGCTCAAATCCAGCGGAAAGCAATTCTTTGGGTAGAAACGAAGAGGGCATAACCTGCTGCAAAATATTTTTTTAAAATGAGAAAACAAAATAATGAAAATATTATTTTTGCGATTAAAATACTCATATTATCGTGTAAAGATAGGTGTAAAAGCGGAAATAGAAATAAAAAGCGTTCTGCTCACCGATGAGTGCTCAAGTGAAACTACATAGTGGTGTCTGATCTCGTCTTCTCAACTTGGTCGTACTGTCAGACAGACTTAGTTGGAGGCATCCTGTCCGGAGTACTCATCTATAATAGTCATCGTAATTCCAAGTATTTGACTGTAGATTCGGTACATTCCCAGACGTTTCGTCGGCATCGTGGTCGGCACCGCCAGTGAATCTTGTCAGTCTTAACGCCAGGCTACAACTCACCAACAAGTTAAGTCAACTCCTTGACCAACTTTCTTCCAAAAGGTTGCGTCATCACTACTCCTTTCGCCGTATCCCACTCACTCCCGGCATCGTCAGTGTCTATCGCCATTCTTAGCACCATACAACAACTCGTCAAAAGAGATAAGTGAAGCCGATCCTTTGACCAAACGCATGATAAACAATTATGGTATCTCCCCTCCTGCCCTGGGTTATTCGCGTTTCCGTTATCAACCTACCATGCCTTTACCCAGGGCAGAAATGGAGATACCATAATTGTATAGCACACGCTTGGTCAAAGGATCGGCTCCACTTGTCTCTTTGACGAGTTGAAGTGTGGTGCTAAGAAGGGCGATACTCAGTGACGATGCAGGCGAAACGTTTGGTAATGTTCAACGTCCACGGTTCAACTTTGGAAATGATCATGCAGACACTGGACTCCGGACTAGGTTTGTTCCTCTAAATCTTCCTACCATTATGACCATGTTGCAAAAACAAGGTCAAACAGCCTGTATATAACGAAAGGAAACTGCGACCCCACAAAAGGCCACACCATCTTGGTCTTCATACCTTCGGTAAAATAAGTAAGTTTCTCAAACTTTATACTGTAAAATGATTAAATTATGTAAACAAAGTTATACAGACTTTAAATA